GATCGGCGATTTGATGAGGCGATTGTTGATTTTCTCATCAGGACACCTTAATATGAAGAGCATCAATCACATTTAAGCTTAAAATTAAAGGACTCCTCCACGGAAAACTGTTCCTTCCCATCTTCTAGGTGGTATCTGTCACAGTGGTTGGGACCGGAAGTGCTTTTGTGATCAAGTGACAAGTGCGGAGCCACGCGTAAGTTTCTGGAACTTGGAAATTTTCTGGAAAAATCCATTTAAGGGTGCGGACCAGCACGCACTTCGCCTTTCTCTCCACTAGGTAAGTTTCCCATTCTTCAACCTTTGTTCTTATCGCGAAATCTTCTTTTAATTTCCTTACAGCTTAACTGCTTCTTTGGATTAATCGCAGCCAGCGGTTATAGTTCCTTCGTCTTGCTATATTAGTGAAGCCGGGGTTCTCAAGTGTCAATTTCCAGTTAGGAAGGGGCAATTTTTTTCCGCGGACGATTCCTTTGAGCTTGAGACTTCAGGAACATACCCTCGCTTAATGATATTGAGTGGTTCAGGATGTGGAGGGGCGCCTCCAACTCGTTCGGCAATGCAGCTATCCACAAAGTAGCCATGACCAGGTGACTGCTCCAATACTGAAACACACAACTTCACACAACAAAGAAAAGAGGCTCGGGTCAATCTGTTGTGTTCAAGTTCGTGCCGTTGCACATGTGCCTGGTAGATGAAAAGGATAGAAAATGACTGATATCCATAAGATCGAACTAAAAAGCATTTTTTGCGAAGCGACAGTGTTAGTAATTGCAATCCTGAATGAACATACACGTTCAAAGAGACTCGAAAGCACAAGAATAATTTCAAGAAGTACACTACAAATTCTATTTTAAATAGTAAAGTTGTTATTGTTCTTCTCTCTGACTACACAAATGACGTGCTGTCTGACGACTGCGCCCTCGGCTCATCATCAACGAAACGCTTACAATACCGCCTCTAATTTTTGCTAAATGGACAGAATTCAGCGCATTAGTCCGCCGCTTCGCCATAACTTCTGTAAAAATGGTTTAAATGATTTGAGTTTAGAACCATTAGATAGCAATTGCCAAGGCGAATCCAACGATCTAGTTCATTTCGGCTTTTCTTCAAATTTTTGGCCTTATTTTTAAAGTTAAATAATTTGACACCATTTTTACAGAAGTTATGGCGAAGAGGCGGATTGCCTCAGACCAATGTGCTGAATGCTTTCGATTTAGCAAAATTTAGGGGCGGTATTGTACCTGGCAATGACGATAGTGCTAAGTATTTCACGCGAATATAAACTCTTACTACTGACTATATTCTCGCGCTGATCCCTCGGCAGCTCTTTTCCCCATGACCGAACCAATTGTAAGTGACTCGTGGAACAACGAGAAATGAACTGAGAATTTGTTCAGGGAACCAAGTCTAGGTAATGTGACACAATCGGACTGATCACAGCTCAAGAAGGATTGATTAAGCGAGACCCCACTGCAGTAGTAGAATGTGCAAATAAAGAAGGCGTTGCGATTGAAGCGGACTATTCATGGTCTCGGAAACAGCCATTCCTTCCTGAAACTTCTGAAACTTACTTCTCCATCGCAGCTCGACCTCGTCACCAAGTGGAACAGTAGTCACGGCTCGCCCATTCCGGAGTATTTCCAGCTCAATTCTTGAAGGCTTCGTTTCAGTAGTTTCGCCGATTGAAGACGGGGAAGAACTGAAAGTTGTACTTTTGTAAGTATCCCCATGAAGATGATTCTCACTAGCTTGCCCTTTTTGGCACATAAAAGCATAAAAATTGAAAGTTGTGTGCTGAATGACGTTAGAATTCTCATTTTATACCTTGCACTTCGTCCAAGAAGGTCAACGTAGTTACAGGTAACGTTGAAGACCCGGTCCACCGATGTGACCAAGGACGGGGCATTGATCTCGTTCTTCTGTATGACGACCGAGAAAGACCATATCGACGGTGCCTGAACACGAACTATCGACTTCTTCACTCACGGCAAATCAAGACGCGGTTTCTACTGATACTAAATATTATTAGATTGGAAGGAAAGTTCTGAAACACCCGTAGCCAAAATTTGAAATTTATTTTTTATCCTTTGTTTTTCTAAGACCCGTAACATATTGACCATCAGACTCAGCAACATTACGCCAACCTTCGGGCAATTGGTTGACACCACATTTGTAGAAATTAGGAGAATTTTTGTCAAACAACTTTTGGTGTCGGATTTGCGGTCCTTCTACGTCGTCGAGCTTCCTGTTCTCCAGGTAATGAGCAAGCGAGCAGGAAAGGTGGAAGACGTGTATGGATAGGTTTGACGAATATGGCAGACGGGCACTATGGTCCAGCCAGCTTGAGTTTCTTGTGGCTTAGAGCAACCCACCCTGTTAATACTATGACTGGGTCTGAAACCATAGAGGTGATGCCGCGACTGGAGACCGCGCGGCTATAGTAACCATGGCCTGGCATTAAACAACTTGAGCTGTGACCGCCCAGCGCTGGGAGTGGTGCGTGGATCAGTTGGTGTCACAGAGCCACAATGGTTGACACACTCAAAACTCGTTGATACATGCACTCTCCTAAGCCAGCCTCCTTCGCCGCTGACGGGAAGAGAGGTTTTATTTTCGGTCTTGTCGACGGCTTCTTCCCGTTTTTTCTTCACTGGCGTTCCATTTCGCATCTCTGCACTCATTTTCAAGTGCAAAACCCCAACTCGATCCCGAACCGTGCCTTTAAGGCCAGGACGACTGGTGAATTCAAGCTAATGCAAGGAGCACGCATGTCACTTTAGACGTATGGAAAGTAAAATGAAATGAAATAAAGTGAGCCTACAATCTCAGTGCCGGGACATCTTGGATCAGGATCGTCGCTTTCCGGAAATGGTATGTGCAGCTCTACTTCAGTGGCGTTCGTAAACTCTGTGCGACAGGTGGCAAAGTTTTCCTGAAAAAAACACTCATCTCCAGACCATTCTTTGTAATTTTTGAAAAACGACTTACTTTGATGTA